GCCCTGGTGGTGCAGTGGTTAAAGTGCTCAGCTGCAAACTGAAAGGTCAATGTTATGAACCCACCAACTGTGCCACAGGAGAAAGACATAACAGTGTGCTTCTGTAAAGATTACAGCCTTGGAAACCCTTCCGGGCAGTTTGACTCTGTCCTACAGGTCCTAAGAGTCAGAATCGACTCAATGGCAATGGGTTTGGATTTTTTGGTTATTAAGGGCCTTGGGTGGTTCAAAAGGTTTGCACCTGACCACTAACCTAAAGGTCGGTGGTTCAAACCTACCCAGTGTTGCCACAGAAGACAGGACTGGCAATCTGCTACCCTAAAGATTACAGCCAGAAAGCCCTATGGAGCAGTTCTGTTCTGTAACACATAGGGTCACCATGAGTTTGGCCTGGTTTGGATTCCAAACCGAAACTTCCAAATGAAAGACAGAGAAGACAAACGCGCAGTAACATTGCATGGACGACCGAGACAGACTGTCAACCGCATTTTGTCTTCCTCGTTTCTTTTAAAACCCTCGTGTTTCACCTTCATTATCATCAGTTTAACAGGCTAACATTTTTTAATTAATATTCAATATCATTGAACAGACTGTGGAGTGTGAGCAATATTCTCTTTGTTCTAAAAATCCAGATATAATGAAGCTGCCATTCACAATTGTTTTCCTCTGGGCTGCTTATTAAAAAAATGATTTTAGATGAATAAAAATAGGTGAATTTTCACAGCATGTGGTCCATTAGGAATGAAAACCTTCCCAATCACAGCCCAGCCCCTGGGGGTCCGGCAGGGGGATGTTGTCAGATGTCAATTCCGGCTGATTGTTTCTGACACCACGTTTCAGAGATAAGTTACTAGACAACATTTATAGACGAATGTGCACTTTGCAGCACACCAGAGCAGAGGTCATGAGTCCAGTGAATTTGCAGGGGACAAGGATGAGGGCCCCGAGCTGTGGCACCTGTTGCCTGTGGCGCAGGCCTCTTGGACCGGGTAACAGGAATCCTGATGGTCAGGCCCCCAGTCCTCACCTGGAGAGTGAGCAAAGCCAATGCAGGCCCTTTCTCCCAGCTCCAGTGACACCACAGGATCCCCAGTGAGGATCACAAACACTGGCCGAGACAGTGTTTCTGTTTGTTTTCAATAACCTGAGCCAGCTTTGGAAAGCCTGGCGATTTCTGGCATCTCTTTACAAAAACACAGCAGACCTGAGCCCACAGTGTCTGACCAGTCTGCTAAAGCCTCTTGCTGCCTGCCCACAGCCTCTCACTCCTTCTGGTCCCTGCTGGACCCTGGGGTAGGTGAGTTGTTTTTGCACTGAAGGACATTTAGACATGAAGAAAATCTTTCTCCCTCGAGAGCCCCCACTCCTTATGGTTGGCCTGGTGTTGGGAAATCATGCTAGAGCTTGGCACTTCAGTTTTCTCGTCTCTAAAAAAAAACTCATGAAACGAACCTGTTGCCGCTAAATCAACTCTGACTCATGGCGACCCCAGAGTGTTACAGAGTAGAGCTGCGACCCCTAGGGTTTTCTTGGTGGTAATCTTTACCGAAGCAGATTGCCAGGCCTTTCTTTCATGGCACCACTGGGTGGATTTGAACCACCAGCCTCCCGATTAGCAGCCAAGCACGTAACCCTTGTACCACCAGGGCTCCTTCTATGGGAAAGAGCACAACCCTCACATAAAGAGGCCCTCCCTGCTGCCTGCATGTCCTCAGTGGACACTGGGGTTCTTCAGCATCCCTAGAAAATGCGGGGAAAACAAGTAAACACCCTGTGCTAGCAGCCTGCACGCCATCTTCCTCCCAAACAGCCTGTTGGGGGCGTGAAGACAGAATCACTCAGGAAGGGGTGACTTCCCAGCTGTGGTTCCTTTCTGATAACAAAGCCTCAGCCCAATTGGAGGTGAGGCAGGAATGATGTGCTGCAGAAAGGCTGTTGGGACATCTTGAGTTTGTTTGTAACTAATCTCAAATAATTTAGATCTTTTTAACTAGCAGCAAATCCGATTCCCTCAACAACATCTCTGGTAAAACGTTGGGAGCGTGTGTGGATGCCAAGTGCAGAAGAGGCTTATTTTTTTCCACCAGCAAATCCATAGTTACCCTCCAAGTTGTAATCTTATCATATTTAACTAGTTCCACATAAACAGATCTATGTATATTTTCAGTAGTTTCAGCTGAAACCTGTTAAGAACAGATGTGCAAAGGGTTCCATGGCGCTGGTCCATGTAAGTGTATTTTTCCATGAACAGCTTTTTCTCCCCTCCTTGGGGAGGAGAGAACAAAAAAGTGGAGCCATCTTTAAAGTGGATATTACACGCTTCTGAGTTCTCTGCAACCAGTGTTTACCGTGGGTTTTCAAGCAGCAATTTGGCATGTGAGCCTATGAACACAGAGTGTGTGCTTGGCAGACAGTGTTTTTGCTGAGACGGTATGGCTGGAAGGATGGGCCCCACAGCTCTCTCCAGCTGCCACCTTCCTTACCATCCAGCCACCCAGTTACTGTCAAGTCGGTTCTTACTCCTGGTGACCCCTGGTGTGTCAGAGTAGAGCTGTGCTCCACAGGGTTTTCAATGGCCGATTTCTCAGAAGTAGATCACCAGGCCTTTCTTCCAAGGTGCCTGTGGATGGACTCCAGCCACCAACCTTTCGGCTGCCAGCTGAGCAAGTTATGTGTCTGCACCACCCAGGGACTCTAGTCTTCCTTAGGGTCAGCCTTTCCCGGCTGCTGGGAAAACAAAAGCAGCCTCTGATCGAAGGCTTGGGCAAGTCATCTGCCTCTTTGACCCTTTAGTTTCTTTCGGCTGCGAAAAAGAGGGGAGGAAGGTTTGATCCTGATCCTGATCTCATAGATGGTCAGAGGATGCAACATGATAGGGCGCATGTAGCAAGCTTTGGACATACTCGCTGTGGAGACTGTAGCTGAGATGGAATGAGATAAGACGGGGTAAGTTCGCCTTGGTTTTGGAGTTCTTTCTGGAGCACACTTCTCTCCCCATCCTCCCATTGCTCCTCCTGGCAGAGTTCATCCGGCTTTCCCAGGTTTTGCTCACAGCCTGGTGCCATGTCTAGGAGTGTGTCCCGCTGGGCATGGCCAGCCTCTTAGCTCATGACTCCTGGAGCACAGAGCCATGTCCCGCTGCTCGTTTCCCCTGGGGCTGGCACAGAGGCGCCTGTCCTGCCTTCCAACGCCTCAGAGCAAACCGCACAGCTCCCACTTCCTCCAGTCTGCAGGTTTGCTGAAAGGACTCGAGATTCCATCCCACTGACCGTTCCCTAGGGCTGGGAGGGGGGATGAGAGGGCCTGGGGTGGTGGGTATTAGACAGATGAGTCAAAAGGGTTCAGTGCCATCTGGGAGAAGCAATGGGGCATCCAGCCCTAGTTCTGCTACCACGTGTGTTTTCACGTGAGCTGGGACCCCACGTCTCTGAGAGCAACGCGTGCAGGGAGTCCCTGAGCCTGAGATGAGGCGTCTTTGGCAAGGTGGCACTTCTGCCCCCTGACAGGGGAGGAGACCTCACAGGGCTTGAGGCCCAGCTGACAGGAAGATGAGCAGCTGGCTTGGGAAGTGAGATCAGCTTCCCAGGGCAAAGTGGAATCACGTCTGTCTTAATGAGGAGGAAAGAGTCAAATCAAAGCATTCATTAGCACTTCAAAGAAGTTAAAAGAGCACATTTGGTTCACACTGCCCCCTGGCCAGGCCAGTGTCTGGGGGAGAATCCCATTATTCTAATCCAGGAGGCAGGTGCCAAGGGCTTCTCCTGCTGGCTGTGACTTCCTGCTCTGGGAAGCCTGTTCCCCACGTCCCCAGCCCCATGTGGGTCTCAGATCTGTTTAGGAGACAGTCCTAGTGATTCATTCCTGTTTATGAAAACCCTGACCTTCTCCAGGCTTTTCACAGGCTTGCTGCATTTCTTCTGCCTAACTATTTTCTTGCCTGCTATTTTTGCTGTTGTTGTTTCCAAAAACTCAAAGGCCTTGATTTCTATAACCAGTTCTGGAGTTGAGAAAAGCAAAAACCAGGAGGTTCAAAACTTAGCTCCTTTGTTCGCTCTCACACTGGCTTGGGTCAGCATCTCTGGGCCCCAGCCAGAAACCTCCAAAAAGGGGACTCTTGCCTGGAATTCAGGAGCCGATCCAGGAGACTTCAGCCCACTCAGCAAGTGAGCAAGATGCCTCTGACCAGCCCAGGAAGGCTTCTGTCTGGCACTGCCCCTCCTGAAGAACGGCACCCAGGTGGGACCAGTAGACTCCCACTCCCCCTACATCTGCTCCATTCTGCTGCCAGGCGCACTGCATTTGCTCATGCTGCCCTAGGTCCCCAGTTTGTTTTTCCCTCTAGTTTTTCGTAGTCCACACACACACATGCATCCGCCACTCTGATTTCCAAATATTATTATTATCAATACAGTGGTGCTTCCCCCAAAAGACCTTTCCTTTCAGCCACAAATGAAAGAGGACTTTAAAAAGGTGTGTGTGTGTGTGTGCGTGTGTGTGTGACATTAACGCACATGCTCGTAATGGAAACCAGGATAAAGTACAGAGAACGGCAACGTGATGGTTACAAACAGGTGCGTGAGGGATAACCCGCTGGTGACTACATTCTGTTCAAAACTGAGACACTGGTAGAATAATCGGCCTTTGTGCCGGAAAGCGTTCAGCTGTAGCAATGACTAATAATACAGCCGAGGATCTGCTCACTTTTTCCCCCTTTTGTGCCTATTTTCATACGTTAATAACTCAAGCATGAAAATTGTTTCGGGCTGAAAGCTGGTGGTGAGAGCTGGGCGAACGGCGGGGACAGCTTGGTGTTGTTGTTGTGACTGCATTTAGTTCGGCTATTTTTAAGTCAGAGGAGTGAAAATGTCAAGGTGAGTTTTCCCGAGCAATGCCTGTTCACCGAACCCCTGCAAGGCTGAGATTTTATGACACAAAGCAAAATTTTCATGACCACAGCTATAGTTACTCTTCATACAGGTGTGTCTTTCTGTTCGGTACAGGTTGGGACTGTTTGGGGGTGACGGAGATGAAATAGAATCAAAACATTATATACGACATTGTCCTGGACTCCCCTGTCTTCAGCAAGAGCCTTCTCATCCAACCAGCAAGTCAAAGAGCCTGGTGAGCAGACAGCTCCCTTAGCAGATTGGGGGGTGGGGGAGGCCAAGCCTACTGCTGGATCTGAGTAAATTCCTGCAGCAATGGAGAGAACAGAACCAAGATGGATAACAGCAACACCTCTTATTTGTACAGGACTCTGGGATTTACTGAGCATTCATTCCCATGTACATAAAACTAGAGAAAGTCCAACTGGAGGGGACCAGAGTTCATACAACCTTTCTCTTCTTCGTTTAAAATTTCCACTTCTTTCTTTTGCTCCTTTGTTGGGGCAGGAGACTATTTTTGGTTTTCAAGATTTTTTTTTTTTATTGTACTTTAGATGAAGGTTTACAGAACAAATAGTTTCTCATTAAACAGTTAGTACACATATTGTTTTATGACAATGGTTAACAACCCCGCAACATGTCAACATTGTCCCTTCTCAACCTTGGGTTTCCTATTACCAGCTTTCCTGTCCCCTCCTGCTTTCTAGTCCTTGTCCCTGGACTGTTGTGCCCCATTAGTCTCGTTTTGTTTTATGGGCCTGTCTAATTTTTGGCTGAACGGTGAACCTCAGGAATGACTTCATTCCTGAGCTAAAAGGGTGTCTGGGAGCCGTACTCTCAGGATTTCTCCAGTCTCCCTCAGGCCAGTAAGTCTGATCTTTTTATGTGAGTTAGAATTTTGTTCTGCATTTTTCTCCAGCTTTGTCCGGAACCCTCTGTTGTGATCCCAGGTCAGAGCAGTCAGTGGTGGTAGCCGGGCACCATCTAGCTGTACTGGACTCAGTCTGGTAGAGGCCTTGGTAGGTGTGGTCCATTAGTCCTTTGGACTAATCTTTTCCTTGTATCCTGTTCTCTTCATTCTCCCTTGCTCCCGAAGGGATGAGACCAGTGGAGTATCTTAGATGGCTGCTCACAGGCTTTTAAGACCCCAGACGCTACTCACCAAGGTAGAACATAGAACATTGTCTTTAGAAACTGTGTCATGCCAATTGAGCTAGATGTTCCCCGAGACCATGGTCCCCACAGCCCTCCAACCAGCAATTCAGTCCCTCAGGGAGTTTGGATGTGTCTACGGGCTTCCAGGACCTTTCCTTGTACGAGTTGTGCTGGCTTCCCCAGCAGGGGCAGGAGAATTTTAAAGATACAGACAAAAACAGAGAATAACATAACAAACACCTATGTACTCACATTCCAGAATTAACAAATGTTAATATTTTGCATTGTTTACTCCAACTTAAAAAAAAAAGCAAATAATTAAAGCATTACGGATAAAGTTGTACCCATCCCTTTACTTCACAGATGAGAAAAGTGGGGTCCAGGAGGGAAAGGGACATGGCAGCAGTCTTCAGCCCTGGTGGAGGCACGGCAGAGCTCGGCTCTTCTGATGTCCCTCCAACATCTTTCCCATCCTTTATGAACTTGATCTTCAGAAAGGAGACTATCAGACGGGTAAGACAAACATTATTGTCCCACTTTACAGATGAAGAGCTTGGTGCTCCAGTGGATGCTTAGCGAGAGCCTCCTGTGTTCTGGGCCCTGTGCTGAGCCCAGGGGCAGAGCATCAGACAATGCAGACAGGATCCCTGCCCGCGGGAGCAGGCGCACAGCACTTCACGGAGGAACTGGTAGGCTTAGCCAAGAGGCAGGGCGGCCTTCCCCGCGGGCCCAAGTAGGGGTTCCCACCTGCCAGGGTCTACTTCACCAGCAGGCATAGAATACAGAAGCACTTCATATGGGTATATTTTAATCAGTACATCAGTCGTAGATCATTGCAAAAGAAAAACAAAATTGTCCTGCACTAATTTGCCACGCTGTGAGAAATGATCTGATGATTTTTATTTTGATTAGTAGATGGTTGCAACTATAAATCTTTTCCCTCAAAATGGCATCTGCACCTTTTGAAGGCTTAAAAAAAAACTTTAAGGTGAAATTTGCAAAGGGATGAGAGCAGAACTTCCCTGTGCCCCAGTGTCCTGCCCTGTGCTATGCGTTGGTGAAGCCCGCACGAACCGCCTCCTAGCTCCCACGCGCACTCTGAGGCCAACAGACCCGCCTGGCAGCCAGCTGGAAGCTCAGAAAGAGCGGACTCTAAAAATATCGGCTTCTGCAGTTTCAACGCCGGGCCCAGGGGCTTCTAGATTGACAGGTCCGTTTACCTACCAATTATTGGTTTAAAAAAAAAAAGGCAACATATGTTTTACGCGTTGATTGGTTTTGGCTCCATAGAGATTTCTCTGGTCATTTCAGAGTGAGCGCAACTCCTCTCAACAGCTCCCCGGAATTGCTTTAGGAAAAGTAAAAGGCAGCAAAACGGATCCAGAAGCCTGGCTTAGTCAGAGGCTGGGGGTCAGGCGCGCCGAGGACGCGCAGCCTCGCCCTTGGCCGCGCTGAGGTCCTGCCCAGCCCCGCAGCGGTGCCAGCTTGTGCGCCGCCGCGCACGCCAGACTTGCCCGAGCCTGCAAGCCCGCCCGTCTCCCACCCAGCAATCACGACCTGGCCAGGCTGAGATGCCTAGAGGCTGCTTCCCTCCGCCCATCCCCGGAGGGGAAGTCGCCCCCAGAGGAGAGCGCGTACCTTTACAGTAAAACCGTTTAAGGGAGAAAATGCTGTATAACAGTTCTCCAGAAATGGAGCACAGTACCCTGCGTGCTCAGAGTTTTGGAGCCAGGATGTGTGTGAATTGCTTCCTCTGGGCAATATTCATAAGAATGCTTTTGGGAAAAAACACCTTTTCCTGGATAGAGTCCTCTCCTCCCGAGATCCCCCGGCGAGAACTTCCAAAGACAGCCTTGTTGTTTCAAAAGGCAGAAAAACCACAGGGTCCTTGGCACAGGGCAGCGTTGTCATTTTAAAGCAGAATCCTTCTGGGCCTCAGCTGGGCCCCTTCCTCTGACAGCAGGCCGGGACACAAGCACAGACTTAGGCACTGACATGGAGCTTTGTTCAGTCCTCAAGAAGCTGCCTAGAATGGATTGCCCTGGTAGTTTCAGCCGTCCTCTCGTTCATTGAATTGGGCTCTGTGTCTCCATCTCAGACAAACCAACAAGCAAAGCAGAAGAGAGCTCGGCAGTCTGGAGCACACGGCACTAACTGCACAGTCCTGTGCCTCGAAGGAAAACACCAGAAAGATGGTTTCTAAGCTAGAGCGACTCTAGATGGCGTGAAGTGAAAGCTCACTCCTGCTGGAGGCGAACTTGTGGGGCAGTGGAAAACTGGCTTTACCGTGGTGCTTTGAAGAGGAAGAAGAGGTAGGAAAGAAACTAAGACAGTGATTCCCTGAATGGGGTTTGAGAAGGTTGGGTTAATGATGGCCCCATCATTTCTAAAACCCACTAGCAGTGTATGAGAGTTCCAGTTCCTCCACATTTTCAGCAACACTTATTATGGTCAATCTTTTTCATTGCAGTCATTCGAATGGAGGTATAGTGGTATCTCCTTGTGTTTTTAATTTGTACCAGAATCCACGTGACAGCAACACTGTTTTAAATAACTAATGATCTTTTTGTTGTACATATTTGTTGTGCATGTTTTCATGTGTATATCTGCCATTCACGTATCTTCTTTGGTGAAATGTTTAAATATTTTACTTATTTTTTAATTTGGTTGTTTGCGTCTGTATTATTGAGTTTTGGGAACTCTTTATATATTCTGGATACAAGTTCTTTATTAGATAAACATTTATATTTTCTCCCAGTCTGAAGCTTGTCTCTTCATTGTCTTGATAGCAAGTGTCTTTTGTTTTTTATTTTGAAGAAGTCTAATTTACTAATGTTTTCTTTTATGGAGTTTGCTTTTTAGCATTGCGTCTAAGAAATCTTTGCCTAACCCAAATTCATAAAGACTTTCTTTTGTTTTCCTCTAGAAGTTTTTTAATGTTAGGTTTTACATTTCAATCTATGATGATTCATTTTGAATTCATTTTTGTATATGATGGGAGGTGTGGATCAAAGTTCACTTTTTTAAAATATGGATGTCCAATTGTTCCGGGAACATTTGTTGAAAAGACGATCATTTATCCACTACATTGTCTTTTCATCATTGTCAAAAATGAATCGTCCATACATGAATGGCTCTTCCTGGACCCTCTATTCCAAAGTTCTACTAATGTTTGTGTTTACCTTTACTCTCTTATTGTTGTAGCTTTCTTGAAATCAAGCAAGGTTAGTTTTCAAACTTTGTTCTTTTTCAAAATTCTTTTTTTTTTTTTAATTGTACTTCAGGTGAAGGCTTACAGAACAAATAGTTTCTCATGAAACAGAAGTACACATGTTGTTTTATAACATTGGTTAACAACCCCACAACATATCAACCCTCTAACTT